TGAGAAATGATGACGTCACGAACCTGCATTGATATCTCCTTGGGGAGATAGGACAGGAGCTTGCAATACTTCGCGTAGTCGGAAGTGATTCTGTGGTTATAAAACTCAGCCTCAAGATGAGCGAACCACAAAAGAGGATCCATGTCCCAGAAAGGTGGAACAGAGAGAGATACAACGCTAAGCATAGACTCTACCTTAGGTTCTACAGAATCCATGGCTTAAAAAAGGATGCAAAAAATAGGCTACCGTATGCAAAAATAAACCGGAAAATATGAAAAATAAATGGAACGGGCTCACCAGAGAAAAGTTCCAAATATCCGGCGCTGAGGTTGATCCGGATTCGGGGTCACCAATTTAGAGGGTTGCCTATTCCGGGAGCCCAGATAGCGATTCGAGAAGACGGATCGAGTTGCAGGGAAACTTTTATTGGTTCAGCAAAAGATTCCCTGTTAGCTAGCTATAAACGAACAACACCGTGGACGCTCTAGCTAGGGAAACGGAGCAGACACAGCACACAGCGCAGTCGCGCGTTGCAACCGAAGTGAGCGCCAAGCAAAAATGGCGATGAGCATGTAAAGCATTCGAACTCAGCAATCAGTTCAACAAACCACACCGGTTGCCTAAGTGTACAATTATAGAATTTTGGTTAGAATTTTACACAAGCAAACCGGGGAATCTCCAGACTGCTACAGTATCATTTTACGGTACCTTAATAGCTATGTCAGCATCCATAATTGTGCTTGTAGTGTGACCTGCATGTGATGTATAGGCGCTGGTCACGAAGGCGCGTGCAGCGAGTAGCCAAGGCTATGCTAGTGCCTTTAGTGCTGCCACTGCAATTTGTGATAAATGGACTAAGTAAACGCTGTCCATCAAGGCGTGTGGAGCCAATATCGGATGTTTCGTCAGTAGCGATAATGATGCCACTGCTATTCGGCCAATATGGGCTCACTTAACGTCCGTTGTAAGGGTCCGTTTAATCAACAATTTAGACTCCGCTGGCGGGGATGATACCAATGCTAATGGATTTATATGCCATTTATAAGCACAGGTCTTGATCGCGTGCGGAGCCAATAGTTGAAGCTTCGATGGTGCTGATATGGATGCAAATGCCACAGGACGGATGTGGGCTAAAAAGCCACCTTTCATGGAAACGCGTGAAGCCGATAACATGGGTTTCGCTAGGTAAAATGCTGATGAATTTCTGTGTGCCAAACATGGATTTACTAAGCACCGGTACTTTATGCCAGTTGTTATTTGTTCATTGGCAGATGCTGCCACCACGACAGAAGCAATACTACCTTAAGAAAAACTGAACATTCAGGTACGTGAGACCAAACTGGTAGCTTGCTGAATTACGACAATGATTTCATGCCTACAAGAGTTTTCTGGGCTTACTAAGCCCCTAGCAATTCGGCGTGAATATCCAGTGACATATATAGTCATGAATATATAAATACATATGTAAATACATAACTAACGTCAAGTTTAACCATAATAATTAATTTTCTTCGTTATTCCTTTTCATCCCATAATTAAATTTGTCACAGATGACTTCTTTGTATTTTGCACAGCGGCGGTTGCTCTCCGACCGAATCTGTCACGCGCTACTTTAGCCTCAGGAGCAAAACTCGCCAGCAGACGCACTGCGACGTCTCGTTATACTTGAACGGTTGAATCACCAACTCATGCTCATCAAGGCTGCAAGGCAAGAAGGGAAATGAGGAAAACACTCTCTTTGGGGTTTATAGAATCTATATCCGCTGTATAATAATTTCAGGAAGCACTGCAAAAAAATTTACCATACTTAGCAACAACTGCGATAATAGATCATAATCCTCTATTAACTAACTGCTCGGCAGTGCGTCCTCCATTAACCTCTCAATAAAGAGCGGCTTTGCTATGTAGTCACTCCGGCTCTTATCCTCATCGCTCGCTTATTTCACTTGGTTTCGAGTTGACACCGTAGGATCCCACCTTCGCGTGGGTCACATAATCTTTAAAAGCGTTGATGCACCATCTTATTCCACAACTGCTGGTTGCTGGTATTGGTTGTTCTGCAATTCAATTTTCGCTCCAACCACAGCCTTTCTTCCTGCACTACAAGTCTCGTTCACTTAACTGACTGCTCGGCAGTCTATGTTACCCTAATCTCACAGGAAAGAGAGGCTTCTGCCACGTAGTTAATCCAGCTCTTACGCTCACAGTTCTTTACACCTATCTGGCTTGTTTTTTACACCTTAGCATTTCACCCTCGAATGGTTCACCTAGTCTATCGAAGTGCCAACACGCCACCCTAATTTACAATTATTGGTTCAAAGCATTGCTTGTTTTACGATCCAATCCTGGCTTCAGCTACGGCCTGTCTCCCTTTACTTTAACCTCCACCTAACTAACTGCTCGGCAGTCAAGCTACCCTTAATCTCTTAATAAAGTGCGGCTACTTCTGTATAGTCACTCCGGCTTTTAACTTCATTGCTCTCTGCGTCGATTTGACTTACAAGGTAGAATTCCAACTTCGGGTGATACACCTAACCTACTTAGGCGTCAATGAGCCATCCCATTTAACAATTACTGGTTCATAGTACTGCATGTTTTACAACCCATTCTACTTTTTTGCTACGGTCTGCCTTCTTTCACTTTAACTTTCCTCCATTTACCTGACCACTCGACAGTCTATCTTCACTTAAAGTCACAACAGCAAGCGGCTTCCGTTACGTAATTAATTCGGCCCTTTCTTTCACTGTTCTCTACGTCCATATGGCTTCCTTTTGACACCGTAGCATTCCCCCGTCGGTGGTTCACCTAATCTATTAACGCGCCGACGCGCCGTCTTCTTACACAACTGTTGGTTTGCTAGTATTGCCAGTACTTTATTCCAACCTTTGCTCTAACTACGGTCTTTTATTCTTCACTATATCCCCCCTCAACTTAACTGACGGCTTGAGAGTCCAGGTTCCCTTAATCTCTCAACAACAGACGGCTTCTGCCACGTAGTTACTCTGGCTCTTAGTTTCACTGTTCCATGCGTCCATTTTGCTGGCTTTTGTCACCATAGCATTCCACCTTCGAATGGATTACCTAAGCTAATGAAGCGCTGATGTGCGATGTTGTTCTACAATTTCTGGTTCATAGGTTGACTCTGCCGTTTATTCACCCTTTGATCGCCACAAATCTCTGAACCGTATCATTTCTTCCTACAGATTTGTTCCAACTCCTTTAACCAATACCTCGTTGACCGATTACCGGATCCATGCTCTAGATCTTCAAGCACATCCCAGTAATGTGCCATGCTTTATGTTGCATGGTCAAGAAACATTTTCAGCGTAATATATTGCACATTGTATAAATAAATAAATTAAATACTTTATTCTCGACTATGCGAGGCACGCCTATGGAGGCATGATCAGATATGTACAACTGTACAAACATTTTATGGCAACTATGACAGTAATAGTAGAAGATTGGTCGTATGTCCATGGTAAAATAAATAAATAGAAGTTTATTCTCAGTTTCATAGAGACGCACCAACTTAGGCATGATCAAGGTTTAAAACTGTTGTGTATCACGATGATACTCCGAGGTCAATCGTGTATAGTTGAAACGGTGTCAAGAAGAGTTGATATGTGAATCTAGTCGACTTGCCAGTATGTAGTTGTGCACCTTTGTCTATTCTAAATGTCTTAAGGTAGCATTTTCACACTGCTTGGTTCCATGATTGTCCTTTTCGTTCTTCTTTCAACCTGGTTCTCTCCCATTGCTTCGAGGTCGGGAAATTTATTAAGATCCGGGATGGAACTGAGGAACTACCTTCGTCTGAGATGGGACGAAATAACCAACAAGGATTCACCTGGACTATGGCCCTATACTAAAACCAACCAATTGCACCCAACCCAAAGACTAATGTCCATTGAGGATACCTGGACACGAATTGCTGACACTGCAGCAAGTATGAAAAAGCAGTGAAAATGAGACCCCAGGTACACTGGTAATTTAACTTACCTGCACAATTATATCCACCTTACTCGACTGACCTCAAGCTCTACGGCGGGCCATGACTGAGCTATCTGACCTGCAAACAGAGGGATCATTTGACTTCGAAGAACTGTGAACAACTGGTTGATAAGCGGCTTTGCCGGATGTACAGTACCGTTCAAATCAATTGACGACAGTGTTCCAGGACGTGGTGAGTTTTCGCCTGGCAAGTATTCGCCCTATAAAAAGCCACGAAAATCCGTTTATTAACATTATGACTTGGCGGATGTGACACGTTACTGAGTGAAGTCACTGCGCACAATTTCATTCTGGCATATTGACAAACGAAAACTTGTAGTATTTTATTATCACACACAAAAAGATACTCTCAGTCTTCACACACTGTCATGAATTGACCTACTGTGCTTTTACTGTTTACTCTGCGCAAACATGAATCCAGTTCATCGTCGCCCCACTGACGCTTTTGCTCCTCACGAGTGCCTCATCCGTTTCTGCAATTTGTACACGTTTTGGCTACAGCAAACAACGTTCATTGTAACATATATCCAGCGCAATATAATTGCTTTAACTTTTGATCACGCCTGGATGCGTAGGAGCATAAAATATTTATTTATTGGTTTATATATCATTGCAGCGGTAGCAGCAATGAAACGCACTCGCTGATGTCGCCTTGTGTGTGCACGTTAAGCAGCTGTTGGTGGCAATGCATTATTGACGAGTTGCAGGTGCGTGCATACAACATTGTGCTTAGGACAGTAGCGTTTTTCCGCTAAGCCACCCTTCTCTGTTATTCTTTTTCATTCCATAGGTTGATGTGGTTTTACGGTAAGAAGTCGGCAATCCAAATGGCCTGTGTACGGCTGTAGATAATGCTTACCTATCGGGAAGAAACGCTTGCGGTGCAGCCAACCAAATACGGCAACAATCATCAGGCAGCCTAGAAATGCAACAGTGTACAAACACCCAGCACACGAGCGTACACAGAATGCATCCGAATTCGGCCGATGGGGGAGAAGGAAAAGTTAGAGCACGCCAACCACCTCGAAACGGCCCGTAGCCAGCAATCAGGTTGATTGCATTAACAGGTTGGCATTTAGAAATAAATAAATAGGGGGGGGGGGGGTGGGGGGGGGGGTGGGGGGGTGGGGGGGGGGTGTGGGGGGGGGGGGGGGGGGGGGGGGGGGGGGTGGGGGGTGGGTGGTGGGGGGGGGGGTGGGGGGGGTGGGGGGGGGGGGGGGTGGGTGTGGGGGGGGGGGGGGGGGGGGGGGGGTGGGGGGGGGTGGGGGGGGGGGGGGGGGTGGGGGGGGGGGGGGGTGGGGGGGGGGGGGGGGGGGGGGGGGGGGGGTGGGGGGGGGGGTGGGGGGGGGGGGGGTGGGGGGTGGGGGGGTGGGGGGGGGGGGGGGGGGGGGGGGGGGGGGGGGGGGTGGGGGGGTGGGGGGGGGGTTGTGGTGGGGTGGGGGGGGGGGGGGGGGGGGGGGGGTGGGGGGGGGGGGGGGGGGGGGAGGGGGGGGGGGGGGTGGGGGGGGGGTGGGGGGGTGGGGGGGGGGGGGGGGGGGGGGGGTGGTGGGGGGGGGGGGGGGGGGGGGGGGGGGGGGGGGGGGGGGGGGGGGGGTGGGGGGGGGGGGGGGGCAGCAACACGAAGTTGTGCTTCCATTGTTATGGGGCTGACGTTTTCGTTCTCCATTATGATCCAACCTCTGTCACCAAATGTAACGCAGTCCTTGGAGTGGAGTATCGGCGGTAGCTAGAAAACGGGCACGAAACGAATCAACGACGGTAGAAAGCAGCACGGAGTCAATCACAGCGGACACACGACGCGAGAAGCATACGCAGCCACCGGACACTCACAGAATCGCAATACGCAACCGTGACACCAGCAAAGAGAGCAGACACGGGGCAAGCACGTTTATCCACAGCGGAAAAACCAGACGTGTACAGGACCTCGAGAAGACAATCAAAACAAAAGGCAATGTCAAGGAGTTTGGGTCGGTAAAGTGGCTTCGCAAGTTTTCACAAAACCGTGGGTTCTCGCGAATCTGCAAATGAAAGGGAAAAGAAAGATATCATATAAGTACTCTTTAAAACGACTCATGGCGGTTTCGGTTTCGTTACATAAGCAAGACTCGAATGTGCAAGTCCCTCTTCGTCGATATGGTGACGGGTAATTAAAACATGCCTCAATCTATTAGGACACACGAACTATCGTCAAAAGCGGATCTACTTCTATCCTACAGTTCCGGTACAACTATTCACCTTGAGATGAACACCTTATGCAATTTCAGTTTCACACTATGAACGGTAAGTCTTCAATAATGGCTGAACATGCTACCACACAACCCAAGTTAGTCATGAACTGATTCCAAGGGTCAAAGTGTAAATAAAAAGAAGATAAAATTATGTGGCAACCAGATTTTAGGTTTTAAGGTTTGTGTTTGTGCGACAGCATTTGACGACAACACCCGTTTATTCAGATAACTCGGATAATTTCGACCTTGACTGTAACCGCCGTTTTGACCTCACTGAAGGTTATCGGGTAGCGTGTTGGCGATGTTCATTTTGTTGATCCACATCCTTTCCTTCAACCCTATCGCGTATGAAAATGAAGTTTAAATTGAATACTGACACATATGACTTTAACACAGAGAAAGACATCACAAAGTCAAGTATGGATATTAATGTTTATAAAAATGCAACGAAACAACTCTCAGAAGAAATGACTCCTTTGGAAGCTCTAGAATCCTACTATGGAAGTCTAACTGCATATGAAAGAAAGGAAATCATGCAATATGAAAAAGTATGTTCCATACCATAGGTATTTGGTTTTGATTTATAGTTAATATTAGATTTAAATTTTTGTGCAACTAGTTCATCTGCTTTGCATAAGTTTCCTGTCGGCACGACAGTCCCCTGATAGTCCGCCGGGAGTCTAACATGTCCCAAAGGAACATTAATCGGACTTCCAGTGGACTGCAAGAAAATATTTTTGAAGCGTGCTCCCTATTCCTATCCTTAAGTTTGACATATACTTCCTATTCTGCTAGCCCCACTTGCTGCCTTGGTTGAAGCATGTAAACACAACTAACGCATGCGAATTCCTCGAAATAAGCACTAATACGTGCTGTTTATTTCTACGTAACATTTAGATTTTTGTCTCAAAAAGCTCAGGTCAGTTCAGTTCCTGGGAACGATAATGGCTTTCGCCTAACGAGCGTCCCGCTGCTTACGTTGGTAAGCAAACCAAGCCACCGGCACTTAGGCGTTGCAATGATTCTCCATATTAATGCGAAGAACAGAAGAGGATGGGAGCAATTTGGTTCCATCGTTTTGGTACAATTAGTAATTCAGGAAAAAGATCTGGCCATCATTTATCTAGGCCAAGTTTGATGAATTCTACAATTTCGCATTGTATTAAATCAGGAGGCCATCTAGGTCAGCTTTTTACGACACGATTTGTGAAAACCTGTTCCCTGATATCCATCGGAGATCACTGCTTTTTAGCTTAAGCTGATGTCCACGCAAGCGTTCAGACGTAGCCAGATCAAACAAATCTATAGGATTAACCCCACTTGTACCACCAAACCATGAATACTTTTAATTAAGTCACTTTACTGCCTGCGTATTTTTATAGAAAACAACCCTGTTTTTTAAACGATCTTCAAATATCTTTCCAACCTGATATTCGAGCATTTTAGTCACCGATATTCGGAGTTTCTCAATGCAAATATAGTCGCTACATAAATAATGCGTCCTATTCCGAGCACAATACACAAGATGTAGTCTAACTACTGCTTTATACAACGGGAGGAAAACTTTTGGTGTGGTGTTATACAATGTCCGCCTGAGACGAAATAACTCTCGTTGCGCCTTGTTAGCAGCGTGGCTACACTGTGCCGAGGGTTTGAAATCTTTTCCCATGATGATTTCAAGGTCAAGTGCTTGGCTAGTAGTCTACAGTGTCAAGGACCCCGAAGAAGTCTAAACTGTAAGTTTACGGTCCCAAGTGAACATTAACTGACCTATATTAGTATTTATGTGTAAGTCCCGTTGACCTGCCAAATTGACTACCTTGTCGATGTCTTTACAAATGGTTTCACGATTACCACTGCTGACCAACTTCAGGTCGTTAGCAACAATATGGCAGTGGCTTTCAATCATAGGTAGTAGGTCATTAAAAACATTATGGATAATAGGGACCAGTACCAAGCTTTCGGAGAAGCTGCTAAAAGCCCTGCTTACACTAGGGCTCGAATCAATGATTTTGACAAATAGTTTATTCCACGTAAAAATTCTGAAATCCAACTTAACAGATCCTAGTGCATTCCAAAAACTATTAATTTATTGAGTACGAATCGATGGTTCACTAAATCAAACGCTTTACTAAAGTCCAGGTAACACACTTCTACCCATATTTTTGCTATCAAGCCATTGACTAATCTCATCCAGGATGCATAATAATAATAATAATCATAAGAATAATAATAATAAAGCACGACTTCTTCCTGATAGAAATTAGGTTGTTCTCATCCAAGTTCTTACAGGTCCGAATTTGTATGTGCTTTTCCAAACCTTTAAGCAAGACGCTGGTCAAGCTTACAGGACTATAGTTGAGGGGAGCCGATTTAGACCCCCTTGTGGATTGCAACTATGATTGCCTCCTTCCACTCGCATGATAGCTTGCGTACTTGAAGTGACACATTGAACAATTCCGTAACTGAATGTTGGAGAATCTCCGCTGGTAGTTTTACAATGACGGGATGTAAAATGTCATGACCAGCCAAGTTCTTGGGGTTCAAGTTAGTCAATAATATGAACAAATCCAGCACCGTAAGAGCGATGTATCGCATTGTATGCGCACTTGAGCAGTGTGGTTGCTATGACACGGGATATCTAATGTCGCTACGGTGTAAATTCTGTATGTATGCATCCAACCTGCTGGTGCACCAGGAAATGACTTTTGCATTATGGCGGCCGCGTCAAGTATTATCAAGAATGCATTAGTGGTGTACCGATAAAACTTGTGCAGAGGATGTGGCAGCGATGCGTTATTTTTACCTTCGTAGTGTGTATCTGCAAGCAACCCTTATTATTATACGCAATACTTATGCAATTAACCGTAAAATGTGCCAACATCCCAATTGGTATGTGGATACATAAGTATCCGCTACGGACGCGTGAAACTTGATACAAATTTGTCTATAAAGATTCGATTCAGTGCGTGGAATCAATTTGTATACTCGGGTTCTGAAGCATTTAGAGTGAAGTAGGTTAATTTAGTAATGCATGAAGAAAAACGAGCTTCCACGGTGAGTCGACGTCTAGCGGGCGCGCCTAGTAGGTTGAAGCAAAGCTGTGAATAGAGAAATGTAAAAACATAATTGCAGGCATTTGCCAAATGTTTCAAAAGATTCCACAGCTTTCTGAGCAAGCTATGACACCTAACAATCGCTTGTAGACGATGTAACCACATATGCTCTAAAATAGTAGTTATTGCAATAAACCGGTTACAACATCTTGAGAGCCAGACGCGGACTATCAGCGGACTCCCGCTCTAGAAGAGAAATATTTACATCAAATTTTGTACTAGTTCTTTCTGTCTTTTTTTCTGCTAGCAACGTAAGTAAATCGCAGTGCGAAGTTCACAAAAAATTGTTATAAATTAAACTATTTAACACAGCTAAAAAACGGCGATATTGTCGACTTTTACCAGGATTGTTTGTGTCGATAGAACAATTTACGCAAAAAGCAAAAAAGTTCTTTTCAGATTTTTCCAAATGCATGATAAACGCGGAAGTTCAGTGTACACTTCTAATTCTACAGTTTTGCTAAGTTTTATAGCTGATGTTAACTTGCATGTATGCAAGACTGCCTGCAAGCGTACCGTGGTAAATCATGCCAGGCACAAACTCTGGATACAGTTGCAAGCTTAATATTTGTAACTGAACTGTATCCCTAAGCTAGTTATATGTTATCAACAAGATAACTTCAGTGCAAATTCTATCACAGCATTGTAAAACATTTTGCTGTCGATACTTCCTATGATCTACTGATCATAAATCATGTTAGTTCAAATTAATCTAGCAGCTTCTGAGATAGAACAAATAAGATATGAAAACACGCACATGGTTATAGGACTGAGCATTTGTCAGGATTTTAGGCAAACTAATTTATGACGGCGAATGTGTTTGTGATTGTTAACTTTGCGTCATGTCTTTGAACGTTTTGTTGAATACGCTTTACCTTCGTGGAAACCCAGATTTCGTTAGTGGCATCTAGTGTTTATGGTAAAGATGGATCAAATATATACAACACCATAGAAATTCATAACCGAAAATGCATGCAGCTGTTTGATTTGTTAATATCAAATAGAAAATTAATTTTCAACCACTGGTTAAAAAGCATCTTCGTTTGAACAACTAGTGATAATTTTCGGTTTCGGATGCATCAATATTTTTATCCGAATATCTTCCGAACTACTTTTGGCCGCTTCTTGGTTTGGTTGCTAAGTATTGGGCTCACGTGGTCTAGTAGCCAGGGAATGAGGATTATTATTATGACCCTAGACGATGAGTGGGTTTTAAACAGAAACTTTAAAAATGAAATTGTATACTGGTTGCTGGTCCGCTGCATGGTTGGGTAAAGGACTAGTAATGAAACGTTTTATCCTTTTG